GTTCACAGCTTGTTGTCTCCCAGAGTTAATGTATATTAATGAAGGTGATGTGTATAAGGGATCTGACTGTGGAGACCAATGTTTTCATACGCAAACTTCACAAGCCCCCCCAAAAAATGCACCATTATATGATGTCATACTGCCAACAGGAAGTAGTCATAGAAGAAATGGACTTCTGTATGATGTCACTTGGAGTTTGTAAAGAGTTAGTGTAAACATTTCCCATGAATTTTCAGATTAATTTAATATAATAATATGTTTCAAATTATTAAGTCATGATTTCCAGAGTAGCACTATATTTTCAATGAATTTTTATAACTACATGTTTAAATTTTCAAAAACCTATCCTGTATAGATTGCCTTTTAAGAGATGAGATAGAAAGACTGTTTATGAGCTTTATAAATGGTGATTTATTGCTATTTGACCTTCCTCGGAATGACAGAATCAAAATTGACTGAATGCTAAGGATTCTGGTACATATAGGGCAGTTTGCATGAGAATGGGTGATGTAATATATTTGAATTTGTAACACATACTGAAAATTTGTATATATGCAAAAAATAATATGTAAAGGTAAATGATAAAGGCCAGTGATTAAAGTCAGCCTGCTTGGCTGACTTTGTGAAGGCCTTTTACATCTTTTGCCATCCCTTTCCTATCTTCCCTCCATTTGTGTTGGTCCATGCTCCAATAATTTGTAGTTTGTTTTTTTCTGGCAATGAACATTACTAGCACTTCCTATATCAGGAGTTCCCATCGTTTGTTGTCTGAATCTTATGAGCTAGATAAATGCCAATACTCCAGGTTAATAGCCATTATATTTACCTTATGTATAGATTCACACATAATATATTGAACTCAGTCAAGAATCAAAGTGTATTCAAGGTGAATTTCAAATTTAAGGTCAAAACAGCCAATCTAGAAAAATGATCTGTCAATTATGCTTACAGTTTTGGCTATTCTGGCCTTATATTTAAATTCTGACTTTAGTAAATAATCCTGAACAGAACAAACAGTGCATATTTTATCTTTGTTAACATATGTGTCAATATAGTGGCTGACAGATGGGGTGGCTTATTCTAATCAGTGATAAGTAGGAAACCTTTACAGTGGGAGGAATATGATCAGTTTTTAAATGGCAGAGAATTGAACTGAGACATTGCATGAGCACAATCTATGTACTAAAATAATTTCATTAAGGTAAAGTTGTTTTGGTGCACACAGCGTCCCTTTAACAAATTCTACACTAAAAATGGCCAAGAACAGTAAACCAATACCCCAAAATATTTCTAAATCTTTGTGCATGAGCAGAACAAACACCAAAACACCAGCCACCTCCATTGACTTGAATACATTTGCAGAAAACATCACAAACAAACGAACGATTAATCAATAATCATTTATACCAAACAAAGGAATGATAAGCAATGTAGCTCGTAAATGAAAGCACAAGTGGTATACTCCTCGCCCAAATAGTCTGTGTATCTTCTTCACGTATGCCCTCCCAGAATCCCTTGCAGTAGTAGCAGTACTGCAGATGCCAGATTTCTGTGGGAAAAGAAAGTCTTATGGCTTGTTTGGTGTTTGCAGATTTGTGTTTAGCAATGTGTTTACTATCCACAAGGGCCGAACTGGAAAACAATTCAGCCTAAACAAGATACAATTCTAAGCTTTGTTAAATGTGTAACTGATAGTGAGCTTGTTAATAAGTAGCTGTCTGGAGAGAAACAGAGGTACTCTAACATTGACTGAAAAATGGAGATCCTAGAGCAAGGGTAGGCGACCTTCGGCAGTCTGGATACCTACATCTCCCATAATGTTCTCACAGCCATAATACTGGCAAAGTATCAGGGGAGATGTAGCCCACAACATTTAGAGTGCCACAGGTTGCCTTCCCTTTCCCTAGAGATTCAAAACAAATGTGTCTCCCTAGTCTTATGTCTACTGGAATATGTTAGCATATATCTGTGAGAAGTACTACTACTGAGACAGTTTACTACTACCAGGGTTTTTAACAAAAGTTCGAATTTCACTTTGAATTCTTACTTTAGTAATTAACCCTGTTAGTCTTCCTGCCTAAATGTCACTTCAGCTCCTGAGATGGTATTCTTCAGGGGATTAATTTATCAGCGGAACTACTTTACCCATAAATCTTCTCCTTTCTCACACCCTAAGTGTCATATATAACAGTGAAAAAAAAAAAAAAGTCCAATATGTGTCTGTGCCAATTGGCACATTCATCAGGGTCCAATAAGGAATGACAATAAGGGATACAGTATTCATGCAAAAGTTTGGCATATATTATCTAAACACTAGACTGTTTATACTGAACCATTGGTTTCCCTTTCTCTGGCATTATATGTCTTACATTAACATGTGAAGAAGATAGATTCTACCCACAGAATCTTTGGTTGGGGAGAATATCTACACTTTCGTTTAAGAGCATAGAGAAGCTCTATCATATGTGAATAGGATTATGTCTATTTTATAAAGAGTATGTCTTAGAAATACTATATTTCACTACTGTGATTATATCTTCTACATGTATGAAAAATGGGTCTATCTCCAACTATCTTAAGAACTTTCACTTAATTCCAGATAAAAGTCAGATAATGTTATTGATTGGTTACTGACACTAGGTTTTAATTTACTTCAATGAGAGAATAGAATATATACAATGTAGTACATAAGTGCTATAGAATATCAAAGGATCGTGAGACTGTTTTTACATTGAAGATAAATTATTACTATTATTTGTATCGAGCCAACATACTAAGCAGAGCTTTATAATTTTTCACAGAAGATAGTTAAAAAATAAACATAAATAAAAGGTTAAGGGGGTAATCAGATTAACTTACAATAAAGAAGAGAAATCGTTTGAATTTAGTACTTTTTAACATTTATCTCTTAGTGTCCAAGGCCATGGATAGACAACCTTCTGCACTCCTGATGTTATGGACTACACGCATAGGTAGGCAAACTCTGGCACTCCAGATATTGTAGACTACATCACTCATAATGCTCTTACATCCATAATTCTGGCAAAGCATCATATGAGGTGTAGTCCGAAACATCTGGAGTGCCGATGGTTTCCTATGCCTGCTACAGCATGTGGCTGTATTAAAGGAGCACTATAGGGTCAGAAACACAAACATGTATTCTTGACCCTTTAGGGTTAAAACCACCATCTAGCCACCCTGGTCCCCACAATGCTCCCTAAATATATAAAATCTTACTTGTATTCAAGTCTGCAGCTGCTTACTTTGTCACTGTTTTCTTTAGACCTGCCCACTGCCTGCTGACATCAGCAGAAGTGGTAGCCTTGTCCAATCACAATGCGTTCCCATAGGAATGGCTGAGACTGACAAGGAGGCAGATCAGGGGCAGAGCCAGCACAATTCAAACACAGCCCTGGCCAATCAGCATCTCCTCATAGAGATGAATTGAATCAATGAATCTCTATGAGGAAAGTTCAGTGTCTGCATGCAGAGGGAGGAGACACTGAATATTTGGATGCATTTTAGGCAGCCATGACCCAGGAAGGATCTCTAACAGCCATCTGAGGAGTGGCCAGTGAAGTGATCACTAGGCTGTAATGTAAACACTGCATTTTCTCTGAAAAGAGTGTTTACAGCAAAAAGCCTGAAGGCAACGATTCCACTCACCAGAACAAATTCAATAAGCTGTAGTTGTTCTGGTGACTTTAGTGTCCCATTAAGTTGAAAGTTTACTTCTAGCTTCTCTCCATAACCTATTGAAAAATAACAGAAACTGTTAGTCCAAGTACCCAGATCCACCTAAGTTGGACTTGCTGACTGGAATGCTCTCTCAAACTCTGAAAATATATCACTTAGTGTGATGTTTAATTCCTTGCTGTTTAGTCCTTCACTTCCAGTGTCAAAGTACTTTAGGTCCCACAGTGTCATAGTACCTAATTCTTTGCTGGTAAAGATATGTGTTCCTGAGCATATCTTGTAACCATTGCGTAGTATACTTTGTGCCAAATATACGAACACTGTTCCAAGTCCAAGCTGATCAGATCACAGTCACTATGTTATAGTTTTAACTCTTTTGTGTTGAGCTGGCTTCATTCCTTTCTGTTTCCAGGTGGGGTGGCAAACGACATAAGGTTGGATGTTTCTATAATTTCACTCTTTGAACCCAGTGAATATTTGTGTTTCACAAATTGCATTCTGTAATAAATGAATCACTGGTTGTTGCCTGTGTCAAATTGTGGTAAATAGACTTATTTTAATTTTGTTTGTATAATTTGTCCTACTGACTTCGCTTTTGGTCCTTCCCAAATAGATGTGATGTTTTAAGGCCTTCTATAATGATTCATTCCTGGGTTTTGGCTGTAGGTTTCTGAAATGTTAGCTCTGTTCATTTTATAAACTAAGGAACAAGTTGCATCTTCGGAAACCTACTCCATCATGACCAATGTCTTGGTGTCACAGGAAGATCTGTAGGGTCTGGTATAATGAGCGGGTTGACCAGCAATGGCTGGTCCCTAGTGATTTTGGTAAATAGTCGTTTCTCCCATGTGGATTTAACAAACTACTTAAAACCAGGCCCTTGCAAAGATTTTGGGCTACACAAGGAAAGACGCATTTTGCTGCCTCCATAAAGGAGCCTTTGCCAGTGTCTCTTAACTCCAAATTTTTCCCCCTTTAGCCATACTTTTGCCTTATTTGTGCCTCTTACCCACGTTTGATGTCTGTTTTCTCTCTTTTCTGTAGTGTATTCCCCTTTTGTCGTTCTTATTCCTATTTTTGTGTCATGATCCCCTTTTGTGGTCTCCCCCTCATTTGTCTTTTATGCCCCTTTTAAATGTTTCTCCCCCTTTATTATATCATACCCCCGTTAGTGCATATTATCCCCCCACCTCCCTTTTATCCCGTTTATGTCTTTTACCTATATTTTTGGATCTTTTAAAACCTCCATTTCTCTTAACACTCCTCCACAGTGTCACTTAACACCTGCTTGTTCTTTTGCACTGCATTAATGCATTTGTAAACTCTTCATTTGACATGATTGATCCAGCTTAGACGTTTTGGAAAAGAAAACGGAGCATGGCACTTTTTGCAACGGTGTAAACTTGTCATGGGGTTCAAACCCACCAGGTTACCTGTTCCGAGCACATAAAGAACCTTACTAAAACAGTAGCAGGGAAGTAGACAGGAAGAGAAAACCTCACACAAAAAGGGGAAGTTCATTTGGGTTGGAGGGGAGAGACCATGATTTACAGCTCAGGTGTCTGCAGACACTTTAACCCCTTAAGGACACATGATGTGTGACATCTCATGATTCCTTTTTACTCCAGAAGTTTGGTCCTTAAGGGGTTAATCACTACCCTCCCTCCTCTAGAAAAAAAACAAAAACCCAAATACAACAAACAAAGTTATTTAATAAAGTGAAAATAAAAGTAAATTCAAATAGAATTTCAAATTTAAGGCCAAAATACCTCAATTGGAAATTATCCTCACATTTATGTGGTGAAATGAATAACACATTTCCAAACGTAGAGAGAAGTTATAAAAATAGCTTATTTCAGGAAAAATGTTGGCACGCCTTGTCAGTTTAAATTTCATTTCACAAGAATTCACTTTTTAATGAATAAACCCTCACAATGCACAGGTTACACACTGGCACGCTTTGGTAAGTCACAGATAGGCACCAGAAGGCCACTGGTACACAAAAATTATTTTATAACTTTTGAGTGCTAATGGTCGCACATCCATTATTTAATTCTGGATGCAAGTGTGAAGACCTCACGGCCTCATGGCATTTTTCAGTGCCGCATGGCTGAGATCATCAAAATTGACAATCTCAGCCAACCCAGTGCTTTCCCATAGGAAAATTTTGGGAGGCTATTGTGCATGTGCGTCAAAATGTGCTGAACTGCACCAATCAGCATCTCCTCACAGAGATGAATTGAATCAATGCATCTCTAAGAGGGACATTCAGCGGCGTGGGGGGTTTCAGGGGATCTCTTTGTTATTTTTCTGGATATTGTCCAGTCAGAGGCTTTACATTGAGATGTAACAAAGGTGTTTTATAAAAGTGTTGATTTCTTTTTCTCTGACATTTATAAAATGAGACTTCTGCCACAGGGACATTACTGGGAATGTACATCAGTAAGATGAAGGGGATTGCTTTAGGTGATTGGAGTGTTCCTTTAATGAGGCCAAAAGCGATCAAATAAAGTTGTTTTAGTACCTGGGGTCCAATTAAATGATTTTCTCCTGTACTAGGAATGCTACATACGCCAGGCATGCAGTTTTCATGTAAAGACCATAAGCATGAAGACATGCTATATTTATTTACTAAACAGTGAATTATTGCAAGCAGTAAAAAAAAAAGTTTAAGCCTAAAGGTTTATTTAAAGTGTGATTGTCAAGAATTCAAAGTTAATTTTAACTTTTATTTATTAAATGATGAACAAAAAAATAATAAATAATATATAAAAACACATTGATAATTTTTTTAAATCCTCTCTCTGTTTATTACATGCACAGGAGATCAGTGTCTCCATTTTGGTGTTTTGGACTAAGATTTGTCTTTCAGTGTTCAATCCCCCACAATACACAGTTTAGTAAATGTCCCGGATGATGGGTCTGATTCCAGTCCCTCCCCAGAACCCAATGTACATATAGCCAGCAGCAATTCTGCCCTTTAGTAACATTAAGCCACGCCCAGTCACTGGCACGGCTTTCCTTGGCTTCAGACTCCGCCCACTCCCTGGCATCTTCCTCCTCCTGTGGGACACCGCTCGCCGCGGCTGACTGGTGATGACGTCACCGCCCTCCACCAATTGGCCGGGCGGACTCTACCACGCCGAGTTGGGGGGTGTACGGACTATGTGTCACACGCCTCACCGTTCCACCTCTCACTGGTTCTCAGATCGTCTCCCCCTATCGCTTGCTGTCGTGTGGTACAGCCTAGGCCTCGCTGCTGTTCGTTGTTCCCGGGAGCGGAAGACACCGAGTGCTCGGTAAGGGGGAGGGGAGAGGAGGGCAGGCGGGTATCGGTAATACACAGTGAGTGTGCACTTACTGAGTGAGCCCTGCAGGGTGTAATATGGAGTGTGCACTTACTGAGTGAGTGAGCCCTGCAGGGTGTAATATGGAGTGTGCACTTACTGAGTGAGCCCTGCAGGGTGTAATGTGGAGTGTGCACTGAGTGAGTGAGCCCTGCAGGGTGTAATGTGGAGTGTGCACTGAGTGAGTGAGCCCTGCAGGGTGTAATGTGGAGTGTGCACTGAGTGAGTGAGCCCTGCAGGGTGTAATGTGGAGTGTGCACTTACTGAGTGAGCCCTGCAGGGTGTAATATGGAGTGTGCACTTACTGAGTGAGTGAGCCCTGCAGGGTGTAATGTGCCCTTACTGAGTGAGCCCTGCAGGGTGTAATGTGGAGTGTGCACTGAGTGAGTGAGCCCTGCAGGGTGTAATGTGGAGTGTGCACTTACTGAGTGAGCCCTGCAGGGTGTAATATGGAGTGTGCACTTACTGAGTGAGTGAGCCCTGCAGGGTGTAATGTGCCCTTACTGAGTGAGCCCTGCAGGGTGTAATGTGGAGTGTGCACTTACTGAGTGAGTGAGCCCTGCAGGGTGTAATGTGCCCTTACTGAGTGAGACCTGCAGGGTGTAATGTGGAGTGTGCCCTTACTGAGTGAGTGAGCCCTGCAGGGTGTAATGTGGAGTGTGCCCTTACTGAGTGAGTGAGCCCTGCAGGGTGTAATGTGGAGTGTGCACTTACTGAGTGAGCCCTGCAGGGTGTAATGTGGAGTGTGCCCTTACTGAGTGAGCCCTGCAGGGTGTAATGTGGAGTGTGCCCTTACTGAGTGAGCCCTGCAGGGTGTAATGTGGAGTGTGCCCTTACTGAGTGAGTGAGCCCTGCAGGGTGTAATGTGGAGTGTGCACTGACCTCCCTTTAATATAGCCTGAGTGTGTCTTATAATCATCAATTCACGGTGTGTGCATAGAGCTAAATATTACATGATCACAACATTATTATTATTATATATCTCAATACATAGTGTGTGCATGTGGGTAGAAATGTAGTGTGAAAAAAAAAAAAATATATATTTATTTTCTTACATTGTTACATTTTAAAGCAAAAAATAAAACAAAACCCCAGTCCGTAATATGTTCAGTTTCGCTGATTTGGCCTAAAATTTGACATTCGCTTTCAATTCATGACAATTCACACGTTAAAGATTAAATGTATCTATCTGTGGTGATTTATCCAGGGAGCACGCATATTTACTAAGCTAATGAGTGAACGGCAAGCTAAAAAATATAAAAAAAAAAAAAAAAAAGATTTGCAAGAAGACATGTTGCTCTCGTGGACTTGTTTCCCGTAGTGGCGTCATGTTGGTTGGAAACAACAAATAAAATAAACGTGGTCTTGGGTAACCTCTTTGCCGAGAGACAAACTCATCAATTCACCCTTTTCGTTTTCAATAAGCATTTTATTTTTTTAAAGGGTTACTCCAACCATAAACAGTGTTTCCGTAAAACAGTGGTTTTGGTTGTAGTAACCTCTTCGGTGCTGATCCGTGGGATTTTGGTGAGAATTAACTGGGGGAGCACAGTGGAGGTGTGGTTGTGGGGCCGTGCCACTATTGTCTGACTGGCGCCAGCATGCTGTGCATGTTGGCATCAGACAGCAGTCTTGCACAGAATTGACATTATTCAGCTCGGAACTTTATTCTGGTATAATGATAGTGCCAGAGTTGGATTTACATCTCGTGCAGCAAAGTGGATTATATCTGTGTTCAGTGTTTCACTGCGAAACTCTGCACATATAGATTCCAGGCACCATGACCACTTCAAATCTCTGACATCACTGACAAGGTCATGGAACTTTTGAACAATGTACTAAAGTGTTAAAAAAATATCCTACGTGTTGTCTTTTCTGATAAACTAAATATTTAAGTTTATATATTATATTGCACTCCATTCTCCTTTTAATTGAGAACATGCAACTTTTTTGTTTGGTGTAACAAGGGTACATCTACTACGAAGCTCTGTTGTATCTAAATCCTGATTCTAAAGCGATTGCAACAACTCCAGATTTCATCCAGAAAAATATTTTAATTCTTGGATAAAATAGCAAAGATTTGGAGATCAACTCTCCCCCCTTCATCAAAAGGGATTATATTGGCTCCCAGCTGTAAATATTTTGCAGAAGCAGTCAATTAATTTTTGAAATATTCGTCCTGTTCTCTGTACAGGGTGACTCTCCTATTTTTGTGGTGGTGGTGGTATTTTTTTTTTTTCTATACACGGAGACTACCCTCTTTCGCGCATGTAATAAAACAGGTGCTGTTATGCCAGTGTAAGACAGACATCCTGGTTAACACGGGATATGTGAGAAGGCAACTGGCTTGTACATAGTTATAAACAGGTCTTACTAGGTGAGGAGGATGCCCCCTCTTTTAACCTTTTTTGTTAAAGGGACACTGTAGTCACTATAACCACTTTCTCTTTGAATTGGTTATAGTGCCTGGAGTGCCCTGGCACAGTCCCTCCATTCAGTGTTGCACCATGTTTGTGCAGTATGCCACAAAATAAGAGTCCCTGGCCACCCACAGTCCGGCCCCTTCTGTATGTGTAGCTAAGGCAGAGATTACACACTTCCTTGTTGTCATACCCATTCATACCGTCAGTTGGAACTCTGACAGGTTAAAAGCAGTCAGCTGACACTCTCAGCCAATCACAGCTGCCCATTGCTGCTCAGGGTAATACTTCCTTATTAGCCAAAGCAGCACAGATGGGATGGACTGCCGTGGTCTCTTGTTTAGCATTAAAACATTACAACATAAAAACTGTTTAATGCTGAAAGAAATGATGGCACCAGGGGACTCCATACACCATAACCAGCTTAATGAGATGAAGCAGATACAGTGCCTACGATGTCCCTTTAAATGTTTCTATCATTAACACATGGCCAAAATCAATCGGATTATCATTATACGGACATCTGAGACTTTCACAATTTCTATGCTATGGAGGCCTTACTATTCATGGCCCTAAACATATCCTGCTATGGATGTTGATTGACCCATGTCTTCATTATCCTGTATGTTGTTTATTTTCTGATTTCCTATACGACCAGAACCAGTTCGTGACCTGCGCGTCTCTGGTGTTCTTTATCTTACCGAAATCTTTGAGTTTCATAGTTTCTATGTTATCGAGACTTGCGAGTCTCTATAAGTTTTGTAGAAATACATACAAAATAATAGGTGGAGCTGTAAAATCTTGAATAATCTGTAAAACACAAATTAAATGCAAATAGCGTAGTATGTCTGGAAATGACGATAAAGCAGAAATAATAAGTAATGGAACTCACAAGGCTGGAGTCATACCATCATATGACTCTAGAAGTATGTCTTTGGACCATTGGGGGTTGTCCAGACCCTTTTGTTGTCAGCTTCTTGGTCTTCCCCCTTGTGTTCCTTAGTAGGTCCCCAAGGAATACTCTACATGCAGGTGGTCCTTAGATAGTAATATATATTTATTGAAAATAAAAGTAAATATAAAAAAGTTTAAAAAGGTTCCATATATCAGATAATGCTGAATATAGGAAAAAAGTCAAATGCAAAGTGGAAATGTCCAATAAGTGTCCAAAAGGCGTTTCACCTGTTCAACAGGCTTCCTCAGTTGGCTGTCTATAAGTTTTGTATTAACTTTATTTATTTTAAACTAAAATGAGAGAACGTTCTCTCCCCTGAATAAAAAGATATTTACAAAACAAAAAACAGACAAACCTTTGAAAGGAAAGTGCAATTGCTTTGGATTGCAATAAGCATAATGGAGCTGTCAACCACTACTGTGCTTTACAGGCCTAGTTGTCAATTTGGAGACTAAAATAAAAATAAAAAAAAATTTACAAACAAAAACCTAACCTGTGGATTCAGAGGCAAATCTATGGAATGACTGTGCTGACCCTTAGCACTGTGTATATGAGAAATCCCCTAGAAACCCCTCAAAGGTGTGCTTGTGGGATTATGTCTGTCTCTCCATCTGGCCGTGTTAATATTGTAGTTGCCATGGCAGCGTGTAACCATGCAATATTTTTTTGTCATTTTGTAGGTCTGTTGACTATCAACCTTCTATGTTTTATTGCCTCTGTTAAGTTTATGAATAAGCAACCTAAATTTATTATACATGTTATGTAAAATGCATTTATTTTTATTGTCTAATTATAATCTTGATCATGTCTGTGTGTAGTATTTTTCAATGCTTACATTATTTCGGGTAGGAAGAGTCCATGTAGAACAGTACATTGTAAAGTCTGATTTATAAATGGCAGTAATTGATATATAATGGGCCATATTCCTTACCAGTGTTCTCATACACAACACGCATTTTTAGAAGTTTTTATTAAAATAGCGTTTGGGTCATCTTGTTAAACAATCTTGGATAATATATATATATATATATATATATATATATATATATATATATATATATATATATATATATGTGTATGTATGTATATTTTTTATTTTATTTTTACTCGTGGCTGTGGAGTTAGAGTAATGGTTGGGTTTTTTTTTTTTTTACCTTTTTAATTTTTTTGGTCTACCCTTAAGCCGGCGTCTAATACACCAGCATAAACGGTAAATTGTAATATACGGTAATTATATAGGGAGTCTGTCAGTGGAATCGGAGTCCAAGATTTTCTGTGGCGTGTTTTTAAATGATCACTATAGTCTTCCAAATCACATCTCAATGAAGTGGCTGGGTGCTGCGGCTTTTTTTGTTTTTGGTCCTGCAATGTAAAACCTTGTAAAATATTTAATGTAAAATATTAATTACTCCCTCCCCCCCCACCCCCCCCTGAAAAATGCACAATGTCTTATTTTCGGGGGAGGTCTTATTTCGGAATAAAACGTGTGCTAGAAAGCAGGTCTATATTCGGGGGAATTCACCCGAACATAGACCAGTTCACTAGGGCATGGAATCCTGCAAATTTATGTTCAGGGGAAAATTCCCTGAACATAGATTAGTGAAGTAGAGCTTTTTTTGGGGGGTAGAGCTCATATTATGAGCATTGCGAACATAGATTAGCTTACTCGCTAATAGAATAACGCTAATCTATGTTCGGGGAAACTTCCCTAGGAAATAGATTAGCTTACTCACGCATGGAATCATGTGAATCTATGTTTGGAGAAAATTCCCGAACACAGATTAGCGAACTAGGCCTTTTTTTTCGGGGTAGGGCTTATATTACGAGCATCCCCCGAAAATAAGCTACAGCTTATTTTCGGGGGATGTCTTATTTACAAGGAAACACGGAAGATGGTGCTTCCTTCTCCTAAATCTGAGTCAGATGTGTTTATTGATGTTCTGCATCCTCATACATTATATGATTCTTATCATATGGAAGCATTGGATTCAATGCTTCTCTATGAGATGCATTTACTTGGTGGAGTGCTGTGTTTTCTACACATGCCTTTGTCCCCAATGCTTCTCTAAGAGAAGTATTTGATTGGACAAAAAGCTGAAGGGAAGACTGCAAAGGAGGTGGAGTGGGCAGCTGCACGAAGTGAGTCTCATTGCTTGTATTTAGGGGTGGGGGGCTTGAGTTAGAAACATATCTGTATTCCTATAGCTAGAATGCTCATTTAATGCAGCTGAACAAGGTAGTTAAAATTACAAGGCAGATAAAGTACCGGTATATTTAGTTTTTCAAAACTTTTGTTCCTAAAATCCTAACCTATTCTGCATCTAAGCTAATGTTTGCCCACTACTAACACCTTTGCTGATGCTAGGCATTGTCCAGTTAAATGTTAATAGATATGTTTTAAACAAAATATTAAAGTGTGTGTGTGTGTGTGTGTGTGTGTATGTACGTATGTATGTATACATACATATATGTGTGTGTATGTATGTATGTGTATATATATATATATATATATATATATATATATATATATATATATATATATATATATATATATATATTCTCCATATTAGATCTATTACATATTAATACAATAAAATGGATTGTGCTGAAATAAATAATCCCAAAATGCCCTGCTCTAATTTCAAATAATTGTTGCTTTCTTTCTTCAATTGATATGTTAATTTCTTCTTGCTATATCTAAGCTCGCACAGGGCCTGCCTTACACTAACAGGCAACAAACAGTCCAGACAATAAAAACTTCTACAGTTACTGTTGAGTAAGGTTGCTAAGATAGGTTGGAAAATGAAACCTTTTTTTGAGGAAGCAGTGTGAATGTGAGTCCCAGCCAGTGGAGGTTTGGCTAGGGCTGCAAAAATGTGATAACTCCTAAACGATAGAGAATTTAGCAGTGAATTCTGCAAGGGCTTGAGAGGAAGTGGTTTTAAGACTTCTAGTGCCCCTCAGATTTTTGTGTCAAAGTAAACTCCAAAGTGTTAATATTTTTTTTTTTTTTACAAGACAGATGCTTATCATATCTCATCAAGCATTCAAATTCACATCCAGTACCTATGGAAATTTGTATCCAGCACTTGTATGGGTACGACTTCACATCCAGCTTACGTAATGTAGCATAAACAAATATAAACAGTAGGCTTGATTAGGAATCAAACTAAGAACATACAAAAAAAATCATATCTTGGGTTAGTTCCCACTCTTCAGATCTCAGAACAGTGATCGTTCACTTGTGCCTTTACTGAGTGACTTTGCAATTTGCATCTAAAGCCTTGTGTTTGGGAATGGTCCACAGGGCAAACTCTGGAACTTTTGTCTATTCTAGTTGTGTATTCCTTACCCTGGTTTTTGCATATTGACTTGTCCCATCTATAGTAGTGCAGAAATTAAATGCCAGGCACAAAACACCTGCATAACAGATAGAGCAGCCCCAGGCTAGTGTTTTAGGTTCTCATAGGCCTTGGCTTTGCTTGTACAAGGGATCCACACCTAGATTTCACACGTAATGAGTCTTTAAGGACTTGCATCATGAATGAAGTTGTTGGATGAGTGTATAAAAACAGTGGTTCATAGTATCTGGATAGTGCTCCCATTGAAAACAGCGATAGGACCATCAATGTCTTAAGTCTCAACCACGTCCTGGTCTCCAGAAAAACTTCGTAGGACAGTTTGAAGGTGTGATGGGTTCCTTCTCAATTAAAAATGCACACATACTAAATAACTGTTTCAGCCTGTCATAGGTTAATGAAACTCAATCTTTTTATCAGTGAGGAAGGAATTCATTGTTAGATGATTTTTTTTTAGACTTGGGCTGTGCCGTTGCGCAATTGGCATCATGGGATGCTGTTTACATCATTTGCAGATGTAGCAGCTCCATATATAGCTGCTTCATTTATCGCGCTGACTCTCTTGATTGACCGTTCTGAAGGTGACCTTGACTCCAGTTGGGTTCTATGATGCGAGTATGACGATGCATCAATTTAAATGCACCATTGACTGAAAATACATTTATTTAGCTTGAGTTTGGTACCATTTATGACTGGGTTTGTCACATCTACAGCAGGTATCCATGGTGATATCGAAAAGAAATGTGGCACGGATATATGTCTCATTGCAGGAGATCTGATAGGAAACCTCGAAATCTATGGTGGCTGTTTCTTTTCACCAGTGGAGGCTAGTCCACATCAACCCCCTTCCCCCGCGTGTTTTTGAAGCAACATAAAAAAAGAGAGAACCTCCAAATCTGTTGATATCGTAGAGCTTCAAATAACCGGTGTTGGAAGAAACTTGTATCTGTCACGATTATATCTGCAGTCACCATTGTCCCTCTTATTGATGACTGGGTATGCAGTTGTTTTTTTAACAGGGAATGGCATCTCCCTGGGTAGAGCCCTAGAAGTTACGGGGAGCAACTCTACATCACCCTTACACTTCACCAAACACCACTGCTTCTCACGCATGCAGAATGCTGGCTGTCCATTCACCTTTCCAATTTCCTCTCTATTTTCATCACTGACACAGCTGATCAGCAGGGGAAGGAAAAGGAAATTAGTGGGCAAATGCGATTAGCTGTTCAAATTCACAGATTTTCTCTTCTTTTTGACCATCTTTATTTTCATTTTCGGCATATCGTAATAATTACACAGTAGACCATGAAAGTGAACAGATATGGTAATATGTGAAAGGATCATTAGATTTACAGCACAGCGTGTTTGTTGCCTTAAACCACCAGTGTTTTACATTCATGCCAGACTAAAGCATCAGTCATTAATTACCGGATGTTAAGCCACTCCAGATGCAGGCCGTTTGGAATAGCTAAGCTGCCCACAGGCAAACTTTAGATCCCGTAAGTGGAAAGCATTAACAAATAAAAAGTAACGTGAAGGAGAATGGCCCTGATTTGATTTTAAGTGATATTTAACAATAAAAGCAGTTTGATCTATTTTACATGTTACAATTATTAAATACCTTCGATAAAGCCATGACATCACCCAGATCTCAGAAAACAATAGTTAGTCTTATCAAAATCCTTTGTGGTACTTAACGGTAAGTGGCACAGTGGGGACATTTACTTTATTTAAGCAGGTCCGGCTATGTCAAAAGGAGTAGTTTGTTTAATTGCCTTATTTATTCTTCCATTAGAATGTAAGGTTGGAGCTCCGGGTGGAGAATATCATTTTGAAGATGTTTGTTCCCGCCTTCCAGCTGAAGAAAGCAAACTATGTAGAAACGTAGTGAAAGAAGGCACTCTGGAGCTGTGTTGGTAATTTCAGCATAATAAAGGGTTGGATGGTGGTTGCTGTGATTTTTACTTTGTTAAAATTTATTTCTGGTTTTCTTTTTACCCTTTGGCCACAGTTCATTCTGACACTCAGCTATGCTCTTCCAACATCCAAGCGACCGAAGAGAAAGCCAGAGTAGACTTCCATCTTCCTATGAGATAGAACTTGAAGGTGACAATGACTCTGGTATAGAAGACGAGCTCAGGTTGGAAGGAAACAATTCCACGATCTTTGTGGCTTTTAAAGGGAATATTGGAGACAAAGACTTAAAGCAGAATCTAGCGCAGATATTGCAGAACGTACCCAACCTCATAAATATGGGTATGTTTAAATTGCAACCTCTATTTCTCTACCAATGCTCTCATATTATGGTCTGAAATATAGATTAATGATGGCCACTCCAAACAAGATAATAGGAGTATAACATTTTTTCCTTATTCTTTTTTTTTTTTTTTAATTTTTTTTTTATTTTTTATACCATTTCAGAGTCCAGCCGGCTGAAGGTCCAGAAGGTGGAGCCATGGAACAGCGTGCGGGTAACGTTCAGCATACCAAGAGAAGCAGCCGAACGCTTGCGTCTCCTTGCTCAGGGTAATAACCAGCAGCTGCGGGATCTAGGAATTCTTTCTGTCCAGATTGAAGGTACAAATACTAAGCTTTTTTTGTGACTGTTATTCTATGTTTTCATTTTCATGCTGTTTTGCCATGAGACATCTACATCTCCAAACCTAAGGGCTGGAACTTGTTAGATGTGAATTGTGAAGTAAAAAAAATATTTTATACCCATAGGTTAACACAGTGATTCCCAACCAATCGAGGATTTAGGGATTACTTTTTTTTTTTTTTTTTTTAAACACCTGAGAGACAACTAGGTATAATCCATGAATCTTGGACTGGTAGGGGTGCCTTGACGACTGTCTTGAGAACCACTGGGTTAATTCATTTTCATAGAATTTTTGGGACATGAACATTTAAATGAACACTTTAGCATTAGGAATACAAATGTTTATTCAATACGCTATAGTATCCTAGTCACAGTTTGGGTGAACCCCACCTAAAGGTTTAAAAGGTATTTTACTTCTCATACCATGCCATGCTGCTTTCTTTGATGATCTCAGCCAATCCAATGCTTTCTCATAGTAAAGCATTGTGAGGCTAGTGCGCATGCGTTGCAAAACACTGCGCTTATCAGACTCTATGAGAGCGTCTGATTGAAATAGCTGAATTTAATTTGGCTATTTGGATGGAACTTCCTCTAGTGACCGTCAGAAGAGGCATTCAAAGCTATTTCTGCAGGACTGTAAAGTTTTATATTGCATGGGTAAATAGCAAGGGACGTGGCATCCGCACCACTTCATTAAGATCAAGTTGTCTGGGTGCTTATAGGGTCCCTTTAAATGTACTTTGTTTTAAGTAGCCAGTCAAAAAGATGTATCCCACAACTGATTTTTTTAAAATTCTGGACAAGAGACATCAGTACTCTCTTTAGTTATCATGTTTGCTACTTGTGAAACCTTGTCACGTTATGGTGTACCCCCAGTATAAACAGGTAACACTGATCTCCTGTTCATAAATCTACGGATGTTACAAATAAAACTTAAGATTTTTGCAGGAACTTGCATGACTCATTAAAAAAAACACATTCTAAGCTATCTTCTTAAAAAGATAGTTCTTTGGTCATCTGGGATACTTACACTTCTTGTTTTAAAGTGGCTGCAAACTGGAGAAAGTATTTTTAATTTCTATTAAAGTGCTGCAACTAGAGCAGGATGCCAATCTTTGGATTTGCTCGCCTCTGGGTAGCAGTGATGAACACAGTTCCTCTGCTCTCAGCACACTATGCATGCTAAAAAAAACAGGACATTTAATTCCTGACTGATTGACAGTCTATGAGATATATATATTTTTTATAATTCTCTTTTGATTGACATTACCAAAATACAATGAGGCTTCCATGTAGCGTATTCAACAATTGTGACATTTAAAATCTGAGGCAGACACCAAAATAACAAAGAGCATGCATCTATGAGGATAATGGCATCTGTTTCATAATATTGAGGGGTGAACAGAGGTAAATCTGGTAACATTAGTATTGAGGAAATCCCTTTTATAACACTCCTGCAGAATTTGTTGGCGCTTTGTATTATTATTATTATTATTATTATTATTATTTATTTATTTATTTATTTATAAAGAGAAAATATTGAACATTAGGAGTTATATATACATAAACCTATACCCTGTGTTCCAATAATTACTGTAGTCTTCTCTGGTGTGATCCCGAAAGGTTGTCCAGTACGTGACAACATATGGGCTCAAGATGTGTCTTAAACCCAAGTAAGGTAAAACCAGAATAGTCTAAGACAAGCATGTCAAACTCGCGGCCCACAAGGACCATCTTTGCGGACCAGCGAGCCGCGAGTACATGCTGAATGTTATAGCAGAGTAGGCACCTGCTTTCCCCATATTGCAGGTGCCTACTCTGCTAACACTTACCCGGCCGGGGAGGAGGGGACAGTGGACGGTTCAGTCGCGCGTGCTGACTGAAGTGAAGCCGGGTGCCGGAATATGACGTCATATTCTGGCACCCGGCATCACTAAACCACGCGAGGGAGCAGGAATGACCCCAGGGAGATGCCCCACATCGTCTCCATAAGGTAAGGAGCAGTAAAGTATGTGTCTGTCTGTGTTTGTGTGCGCGGCCCACATAAACTTAAACCTTGTTTATGTGGCCCGTGCCACACTTTGAGTTTGACATGCTTGGTCTAAGAAGTATAAGAAGATAGTGAAAACCAGGTATTTAAGAGATTCCATAATAAAATGAAGAGAACCATGCATTTAGTGGACAGCCTATGATTAAGGACCATTATGTGAGAAACGTGCAAGAATTTTACCTTGACTCCCCCTCTCCACCCCCCACGCCCCAGATGGTTTATTTGATTGATAGGACTTCTAGCCGAAGCTACAAGTTCCACTTTAGAGCCCTGTTATGTCAGCTTTAAAAATATTCTAATCATAATCTTGTGAAATACCGTATTTTACAGTGACTACCGATATCTGGGAAAATAAAGGCAATCGTTAAACTCTTCATTTTATAACTGGTGCAGTAATTAGAATTAAGGTCATGGTTTGGGTTTGAGCCTCAGTAGCCCACCGATTGCGGTATATGTTATGAAAAGGTGTAAAATGAAGTACCAGGAGTTTTTAAATATTGATTTTGCTAAAAGTGAAAGTTGCATTAAAAAAAAAGTGTTAAATCCATCATTGAAACTATTTGTTTTCACCAAACAATAGACTTGCTGACAAAGCTTCAAGATTCAATTAACCAGTAGTAATGTCTCACAGAATGCAGCATTCCTTTGTTACGATAGAGAAATTGTGCAATGTTACAATTAGGGTGAAAAATGTTTTAGTAGTTTAAAAACAATACAATATTTTGAATAAGTACAATGAATGTGGAAAAGACACATAACCATAATATAATGGTAGATCAACACAAAACAACAAATGTCTTATATATTTCTTTAATTTATGTTTTGTTAGAGTTTCCACACTCACAATACAACTGGTTCATCATATGAATATAGCATACAGTGAGATATACATCTCAATTATGCGTCATAAGCATATGACTAATTATTGCGTTTGTAGAATTAGATAGTAAATCTAGGTAACGACTTTAACTTAGAATAGATTAACACCAGTATGATTTGTTGCCCGTAGTTTTGTCTGCTTCACGTGAGAGCAGTGTAAAACGTAAAAAAGAACAGAAAAGCAAGGTATAACACAACAAAGGATCATATCAATTCAATTACTTCACTGCCACTCCTCTATACTGTGACAGGCAGGTACAGCTGTGGCTAAGCTAGCTCCCATCTTTCTTTGGGAGATGGCAAGTTCAAGCTCTGGAGAAAGGATGCCTGGTCTCTAGATGAGGACAAAGACAGTGTGGTGTCCCCCCTGCGGGACAATCAAGGAGCTATCCTCCCACTCCAAGTATTTGACCACGAGTACCTCCGTTGTCTAGCGGTTGGGGATAACTGCCTTCTTTGAAGCGGGACAGCAAATGGTATGTCACTGTAGATCGCCACCGGAATGCCCTCGAACCGGATGTTATCTAGCTCTCTGGAATGATTTATAATCGCTGCCATGCTGGATACATCTTTTGGTGACTACTATTGTGTCTCTGAGTGCTTCAGGTTGGGCTGTAGCAGCTTTGGGAACTCTGAATGCTGAGAGTGGTGGTCACATGTTCAGCTTTACCTTTAAGACCCATGGAGGTTAGCAGTCTCTGTATGAAGGGCAGCAAGTTGTCTCCATTGGATTAGGAATGCCTCTAATGCGGCCGTTTTTCTGTGCCTGGATTCCAGTGTGGACATGGACCTGCTGGGATAGGGTGTCCACTTAGCTCTGAGTGTTTAGGATCTGACTCTCTCAGGATATTTCTCTGGTCTCCACCTCCTTAATTTGCTGGTGGAGGACCCACATCTCCGTTTGAGTCTACTGAAGGTCTGACTTCCAGACCTTCCGCAGGTGAATCAGGTGGTGCTTTATGTCTTCTTTTGTGGTCAGCGCAGAGTCATCCTCTGATTCTAAATCCAGTTTGGCCTTACTCATTTCAGGTGAGGTAAGTTTTTCACCATCTTCTTGTGCTCCCTCCGAGCTTCACTGGTCACCACGGGCGTCATCTTGGAGGACGTGGTCGGAGCAGGCCTCGCAAAGGAAAGCCTGAAATCTGGCATCCTTGGGTCTCTGGAAGGTGAAATGTTTTATGCTTTGGCTCATTCTAATCTCTGGTGGGAGACGTGGTATCCATATTTTTTGGAGCTGGAAACTGAGTTAGACGCCTCTATCTGCGGTCTGAGACGGAGCTTCACAGAAACGCATCTTGTCTGGTGTTCGACTAACCACGCCCCCACCCAGCAATCTAAAACAACAAATTTTAAGGGACATTATTTGCACCAACACAACTTAAAGGCATTCTCCACAGCCCAAATACAAAAATTTAAAAAATCAATGTTTAGTCGACATATCTCAAATTAAAACATGCATGTATTTAAGCATTTTTTTCATTGGTGGTATATCTAAAAACAACTAGCAAAAACTGCAGACCTATTGTCTGCAAGCACTCCTCTTCTAACCCAGCCTAGACTTTGTGACTGTCCAATCACAAACTTCCCAATGCAGCTCAATGAGAAGTATGTGCAAGGCAGGTGCTCTGCGCAATTACTGCCTCTTGAGTTTAGCTCCACTGAGCTAACCAAACCAGGAAATAACAAGACCTGTTGTCTAATGTGACTGCCAGGGCTTGTAACCAGGTTAATTTATAAAAGTGTCAAATTCTGTTGAAATCTGCACTTTTTTTGCAAAATGTAAAAATGAGTACAGTTCACACTCTTCACATACAAAGCTTTTCAGCAAGCTAAAGTGCTCTAGGGGCTTTGTAGTATCACTAGAAGTACATTTGTGTTTTGACCTGCTATTCATGCTATATTTTGTTTTCTGCACATTCAAATCTCTATATAGTTTTGCTTAAAGAAAAAGAAAGGACATCTTCCAGATTTGAAGAGCGGGAAAAAAAACCCCAGCATGAGGCCAAAACCTTCTTCCTACATTTTCTTTCAAATGCACTTAAAGGAACACTGTAAGCGCCATAACCACCTAATCGCACTGTATGGTGTTTACTTATATCATTCCAGTTTTTCATACAGTAACGCTGCTGATAATCATATGGACAGAGAGCAGGTGTTTTTTTTTTTTTTTTCTCAAGTAACCGTTATTGCTTTTTCTAGGGGAAGGGGCCATCAACCTGGCACTATCGCAAAACAGAGGACAGGAAGTACGGATGAATGGGCCAATGGGAGCCAACAGTACCATGAGAATTGATGCCAACTTCCCCATGCAGAATAGGGCAGGTATGTGGTGTGAAATATGCCCTGTTCCATTCATGGAAGAAGTGGTATGTTCTGTCTTTTTAAAAAGTCAACATTAGCTTGAAAATCTTTTTTTCCACCATTGGTATAAACTGCTGAAGTTCCATTTACTGTATTCAAAATAATTGTACAGAGTATAGTAGTAGTATGGTCTACCATAAAAATATTGCATAAGTACAGAACAGGTCTCTGGCCATGAACCAAGGTTTAAATGTTATCCAGAAAAGTTAGGCGAGTAGCCTACATAAAAACAGACATTACCATGGGTATTACAGAGCAAGACATAAGAATAAAGTAGGTGGGTTAACAGGGCCAACTCAGGAACTCTTTGGCCTATAACATGACCAGGGATCCCAAGAGTAATGTGAACGTTTTCATTTTTATTATATATTTATTTGGAATAAATTGCTGGTATGATAAGTGAAAATAACTTGCTCCTCTCTTTCCAATTATGAGAACTGAGTGAGGAAATCCATAGAAAAGGAGGGCAGACAAGAATGTAAAAAAACTGAATATTAAAAAAAAAAAAAACTGCTATGATAAAATGCCTTCACATGATAAATTCCATTCCCCAACATTGTGCGTTACCTCTGGAGAGATATAAACCACACACCTTTTGGCGTCTTCTCTCTTCATATGTAAAGTCAAACGCCTTCTAAGCAGACACATTTTTGATAATTCATTGCTCCATTGTATTCTAGATGTTGTATTTCTTATTCTTCACTTTAGCATAACCTATTTTAGAAGTAGCAAATTCTGTGAAAAAATAAATTGTTTGTTTGGAAAAGAGTTGTTGAAAAGGATGTTATGCAGATGAGAAATATTGACAAAACCTTGGGTCAGAAAGCGTGATGTGCTATGTTTTAGGAAAACCGGTTGAAAAGTCTGTTGTAGTGTAGGTTAAAGAGAGGAAAGTGATCTGTCTTTACACAAGTCAGAGAGAGGAAAGTAATCGCAGTCATGAAGTAGGTCAGAGAGAGGAAAGTGAATCACGGTCATGGCATAGGTCAAAGAGAAGTGATCTTGGTCGTGGTGCAGGTCAGAGGGAAGTGATCTTGGTCGTGGTGCAGGTCAGAGGGAAGTGATCTCGGTTGTGGAGTAGCTCAGAGAGCGGGAAGTGATCTCGGTTGTGGAGTAGCTCAGAGAGCGGGAAGTGATCTCGGTTGTGGAGTAGCTCAGAGAGCGGGAAGTGATCTTGATCGTGGAGTAGCTCAGAAAGCGGGAAGTGGTCGTAGAGTAGTTAAGAGAGAGTGGGAAGTGATTGCGGTCATGGTGTGGGTCAGAGTAAAGTGGACGCATTCGTGCCGCAGGTCAGCGAGAGGGGAAGTGATCTCTGTCATGAAGTAGGTCAGAGAGAGGAAAGGGATCTCGGTCATGGAGTACGTCCGAGAGAAGTGATCTCAGTCATGGTGCACATGTTTGTCACATGTTTTATTTTGAGAGGACATGTTAGTTAATTCTATGGCGCACCGTAGGGAGAAGTTGGCATCCAGACATGATATCATATTGTGCAATGTAAAGGGCTTATGGTCTGGTACAAGCACCCTATAATTTTTATTGTCCAGGCCTGATCAGGATGAACAACCCATCAGCAAGCATGATGTCCCAGGGTCCTCACGTATCTTCTGCAATGATGGCTGCCAGCAGTAGCTCCGACATGCAGCCAAGGACCCCCAGACCTCCTTCCCAAAAAGGTACACAAAAGCACATCTACAAACTGGACCCTTTTATATGTGTATATATGTGGAGTTCGAAAAACAAAATGTGTTGAAAATAAAATCAAGACCTTGAACTCTGCATCTGAACTAGCTATGTTTTTATCTCGTGAGCTGCTGCTCTTCACCTGAAGGTACTCCACGTGCTTTTAAGTTGGCATGAATCCTCATTGGGTAAATAGGGACTTTGGAACGCAGGAGGCTATTTATGTAACCTACCAAATTTCTGATGAGTACCATATTATTTGGAATGTAAGACACATTCAAGAAGCATTCCTATGATTTAACTAAAATTTTCTAGATAAGATAGATCAACCTGTTCCTTAATTGCAGTAAAATTCAGCTTATGTGTATAGGGGATGTCACATGTTTAGGGAATGAAGTGTACAATATGTCTTTGTGGGATGTAGTGTGTGTGTGTGTGTGTGATATGCAGTGTGTACATATGGAGGCTCTAGGTGACATCTAGCAGTGTTGCTGCCTCAAAGTTAAAGGGACACTATAGTCACCCAGACCACTTCAGCTCAATGAAGTGGTCTGGGTGCCAGGTCCCTCAGGTTTTAACTCTTCAGATGCAAACATACATTTGGGGTTAAGCCAGCCTCTAGTGGCTGTATTCCGGAACTAAAGAAAATACTATTCCTTCCCCCCCCTCTCTCCCCCCCCCACAGTTTAGGCAATAATAACGTGTTTTCTATGTCCAGCTTAGGAAAAGTAATTCAAAATTAATTTGTGTCTTGATTTATAGAGTACATAATATGTATAAGATTTCAGCCTATTTTGAAAGTTACAGGTCATCAAATACAAGGACCAAAATTGAATTTCAACATGAAACAATTTTAGAAGTTGGTATGTTTGTCTTGTAAGTTTAGTAGCCATCACAAAAACAAAATTACCACACAAAAAGTATATATATTTATATTTATGTACAGGCTATTTTTCTTCTTTCTTTTTTTTTCTTCTTCAAATATCTTGTTTTTATTGAAAATTTCATGTTATATAAGAACTTCAATAAGGGTTACAGAAAGGAAAATGGGAACAATGCATCTTCAATGTACATTCAGGTCAAAACAATTTGGCATTTGCAGTTTGTCACATATGGTAAACAGTTGGTAGATCGCAGTCCTCATTATCATAATCATATCTATCACAATCACATTTAGTATGTCACCTATGTAAAGCTTGTGCGCTACCCAGCGTGGCCTTAGCTTAGTATCTGCCTGCGGGTGTGAACTGTTCTGAGTGTGTTGGTACAGTTGGGTTGCTTATTTAACCTTGCGTAGGTCTGTTCTATACATAAAGTATGTCTGCTGTATGCAAAACGTAGGCTCCTGTACTTTGTGTTTGCTACTTCCTTCTGTGGTAGTGTACGGAATGGGCCTTTGACCTTGTTTCGAGCCTAATGACCTTATACTGAGGTGTAGCGGAGTGAGTATTGTCTCCGTGTCTGGTTGTCTGCTATCAGTATCTATGTGGCGCTTAGGAGTTCTTATGTGATCATGTTACTTTAAGTTGTCCTGATTGTGTGGTAGTTTAATCAGACATGGTGTCAGTACTTGACCCTGTGTGTAGCGTGTTACGCCTGTCTACGCATCTATGTCTCATGGGAGAGGCAGATTTGCCCAGCATCCCCACATTTGGGTGTGCTTATGTTCCTGCCCTTTCAGTCATTTTGACACTTTTTACGTAGCTATTTCATCTCTAATCTCTGCTAAATATTGGAGTAAAATTGTGTTTTTTCTTTATTTTGGCATATGCACATATAATAAGGTTTTTTTTAATGCGTATTTGGCAAAGCTGGTGTGTGCTATTCCTGCACAGAACCTCATATTGTGTTCAGCTACATCTGCGGAGTATAACGATACCCCCATTGTATGCTTTCGGCACTATTCTGTGAAGCTACAGTGCCATATAAGAGACCAGGCTATTTCAGTTTCTATAGTTAGAATTTTCATACATTGATTTGATGGGCCTATGTCTCTTTTTGAGGCATTATAGCAGTTTAAATGTTATCATAAACCCACAAAGGGCTTCCATTTGAGAAATACACCCCAGGGTATCTTATATGGTGTATATTGTGCCTTAACGTATCACCATTTTTTCACTAATTTATGTCAATGTTTGTGGTGAGGGGGAAAAAATTGCATTTTTTACATACATGTTGCATTTTTGTTGAGTATTTCTTACACTGATATGTGCCACTGTCATAAAATCTCCCAAATAATGCTCAGTTACATCTTCTGAGTAAAACAATATGCCAAATGTATGACCTAGAGTGACACTATTTTGTGACGTTACAGTGCTGTAAAAGAGACGTGACAAGTTCAGGTTTTTCAGTGTGAATTTTCATAGATGGTTTTGATGGCTCTCTGTTCCATTCTGGAGCACTTCAGCAAGCGATATATTCCAACTACACCATAACTACATCCCACCTTAGTGTGGAATAATTTTTCCACTAGCTTGGTAATAAGCATTTTTTTCTGCCTTTTTGACACACAAAGTGAGTTTGCACAGTATATTTTGCAAACCTTATGTGTGCTACGACTGTATAATACTTCATATGTTACTCAGCTATGTCGTCTGAGTACAGCAATACCCGCGTATTTACCTTTTCCAGGTATATGTGGATATTGAAGGGGCACATTTGAGACACAGCCATTCCAGTTTTTTTCAAACTTAGAATTCTTGCGCTGTGTCCAGGTCCCATTTTGGTGTATTTGAAGCAGACTATATATTTCAACTATCCCATAAAGGCATACAATTTCTTAAAGAATACATCCCCGGGTATTTCAAAAGGCATATTTTAAACCTTAGCGTGGGATCTTTTTTTCGCTAGTTTGTTCCAGGTGTAGTTGTAATGAGCAAAACTTTTTTTACACTTCAAATTTTTATAAACTATTTTTTTTTTTTTTACCGTTAACCCCTAGCAGTAAGCAGCACTAACAATAAATTCCCCAATTTCCCATAACTCCCACCCACCCCAGCTTGCAAAATATAATTTTAAAATATTTAAATTAATAAAATAAATTGAACCCCCGAGGATTAAAAATAATAATAAAAGTTAACCCTCAGGGGTTAAAATAAAAAATCAGATCACAGTATTATACTGTGATCACTGTAAGCAGTGATCAATGGTAGGGAAGGGGTTAATTTTTATTAGGTGTGGGTAAAGGGAAGGGGGTGGGAGTTTTGAAACTTATTAAAACTTAAAAAAAAAATTTTTTTTTAAAAGCTAGCCTAACACCATATCCCCCAATTTCCCACTAACTTCCACCCACCACAGCTAGCTAAATATATAATTTGAAAATATTTAAATTAATAAAATAACTTTAATCCCTGAGAGTTAAAAAAATAAATAAACGTTGACCCTCAGGGGTTAAAAAAATAAATCAGATCATACTAAAATTCCCTCATCTGTATTTCGATCACTGTAGTAAGTGATCAGATGGCAGTGAAGGGGTTAATTTTATTAAAGCATGGAAAAGACGGACCAGAAGACAGCCTGTCAGAGTGATCATAGCTACAGGGATAGCGTGATCGGGTGCTCCTGGTCTGCCTCGAATACCGAGGCAGACCGGAGAAGCGTTAACCCCTGGTCCGTCATCCGTCGTTAAGAGCTTCCCCATTAAAGCGCCACTGTCATGCCGAACTTACCTTTCCCCAATCGATTCCTATTCTTTTCCTCTGTCAGGATATGTTCTTAATTTCTTCCTGTCTGCTCTAGTGTTCTTTAAAACATAAGACAAATTAGGGACTACTTTGTCTTATGGAGGTTTCCTACGCTTGAACAGCGGAGGAGCAAAGTGTGCTTTCTTTTCGGTGGTCAAAGCAATTTTCCTACAATTTTCACCTTTCCTCCGTGATCTTCCGATGCTTCCTGTCAGTATTCTGGAACGTCCTGTCACGTTTCGCCGGCGAAACCACTGAATTTCGTCCTCACAGAATGAGAACAGTTTCTCCATTCGTGTTAGGACGCAATTCGGGACTTTGTTCGGATCAGAATTTCATTAAATCTTGCAGTCGCTTAGTAGATAGCTCCCTGATATCATGGGAATTAGGGAGTTATCTAACAAAATGCTGAATGACCTAAATTGGTCTTTCAGCCAGATGTACTAATACTAAGTAAAAATTACTTAGTATTAGTACATTTTGCCCCTACTCGATATGCTGCGAGTAGGGGCATGCCTACTAAACAATGAGCAGCCAGTGAACTATTGTCCTCCTCGGCCCCCACCCATGAGCGGCGAGTGGGTGCCCTAAATGAAAATGGAGGGGGGACCTATCGTCCTGCCCCCACCCATGAGCGGCGGGTGGGAGTCCTAAATTACAAAAAGAGGGGGACCTATCGTCGTCCTCCTGGCCTCCACACCTGAGCGGTGGGGGCCCTAAATTACAATAAGGGGGGGGAAGGCTCCTTTTTTAAAATATGCTTTGTCAAGGTGATCTAGTTTGTATGGTAAGATTTAAGACACAGGGACCAGAGTGAAAGAGCCACAATCTACACTCGGTCTCTTACCCAAGGAATTCTGGTTTGCTAGATTTTAGCTGTAACCGATTTTATGATTTTCCAAGTACATAATGGCATCTGGTCTCCATTTGAAAAGGTTAAATCCTATTAAGGTCCCATTTACTTTAATTTTACAATTATTATGGCGAATAGTGTCGTGATATGTAGTTGCAACCGCCCTGAAAACACTATGTTGACTCAGCATCTGCATATTATAACCATACTTCATTGCTTTTTCCTCCCAACAGATGGAATTGACCCAATGACATCTGGCATGACTGTTCAGCAACAAGGCCACACGTCTGGGTCTATGGCACCCCAGATGCATCCCATGCAGTCCTCTGTTGCTAATAGACCCATCAATGCAGCAAATTTTCAACAATTTCAGCAGCAAACTCGCCTACCCCAACATCAAGTTGCACAGGGACTGCGACCCCAATTTGCAGCTCCTGCACAGGTCCCGGTACCTCCAGGGTGGAATCAGCTTGCTTCTGGAGCTCTGCAGCCTCCCCCTGCTCAGGGAAGTATGGGAGTAGTGACTGCTAATCAAGGATGGAAGAAGTCCCCAATGAATGCGGGTCCAATGCAGCAGCAACAGTTTCAACAGAGACCCTCTTTGTCTACAGTGCAGACTCCTTCTCATCCTCCCCCTCCATACCCCTTTGGCAGCCAGCAGGCCTCTCAAGCTCACTCTAGCTTCTCTACCATTTCCGGGACAAACCAGTTTAACACACCTTCAATGAAGCCTTTGCAGGGAAGTCCAGCACGGGCACCAACCCCTTTGCAGCAAACCCACCTTACCGGCAAGTCCCCAGTTTCGTCTCCATCTCCTTTTCAGCAAAACTCCCCAGCTTCTTCCCCAACAGTGATCCAAACACAGCAGCCGGCCATGGGACCACGCGGGACACAAGGCAACCAAATGCAGCAAGGGTTCCAGCAGCCACCAGTCAGTTCACCCAGCCACATGATGTCACAGGGGAACTCAGCGGGCAACTTCATGATGCAACAGGCACAACAACAGGGTCAGGGTCCACAAGGTATCCATACAGGTATGTAAGCCTGTAAGCTATGAAAACAAATGCAGTAGAATTTTTATGATCAGTCCTATAATGGTTTACATTCTCACTGTATTTATTTTTAAACTAAGCATGATTTTTTTCTATTGCCCTAATATTTCTTAAGTTTTACATATACTTTCTTCTATTTAGTTTAATTCATTTTTTAAATTATTGATTACATCATATCCTACTTTTTCTTGTCTTGCTTACCTTTTTTTTTTTTCTTGTTTCACTCGTTTTAGCATTATGTCCTTACATGTTTTTTTCTTTATATATTATGCATTCTCTTGTCTTATCAAATCCCTGCATTTTCCTGTCCTTCCTTAAAGATATACCCAGGACCCTTCTTGCTATGACCTTGGGGGTCCACAGACAGTAAGGTGCTCTTTAGACCCTATAATCGGCACTGTGAGCAAAAAAAAGAGACCCGCAGGTCACATTGCAGTGTTACTTATCAAAGTGAACCCAGATCTACGGACAAATCAATAGACCTAGAGTTCCAATATTTTGAGCCTCTCCTAACCCAAATAAACCATAACCAAAACATAAAACCATAGCAGGAAAAATGGGAATAAAGGAGGAGGGGTGGGAGAAAGGGATTGATCGCACAGGGAGGAGCTGTGTGCTTCCATTTATCTTCAAAGCTGAGAACAGAACCAACTCTTGCCCTGTGTACTCATCTGTAGTGTGAGTTGGAAACCTTCACTAACAGTAGTGAGCACTGAAAAGACTTTTTCCATGCAACAAAGCTCCTCTGTCTTGGAAAACCATAGGCCCAATAAAAGACTATATAGTTGTCTCCAGAAAGGGTCATCGATTGTTTCCCTACATTCCGGATACAGACTGCAATTGAGTTCTTGTAACGGGTGGTAGATATGCATAGGTGCAGGCGCCATGGGTGGTGGCATGTCTGACAAGTGTTACAGTATGTCATGGATTTTAGACCAAAACAGGGCTAAAATTGGTCACTCCCACCAGATGTGTAGGAAGGTGTCCGGATCTGCAAGATAGTGCCAGCATCCTACGTCTTGGTTTGCATCTACCGAGTGCTGGAATTAGGGAGTGCAGTACCAGAATGACAGTATTTTATATGCACTTTCCTGGAGACAGAGAAATGGTGGGTACGATCAAAAATCTTTTGCCATTGGGTGCCGGTAAAATTGGGAAATGTAACTTTCCCACTTCTCCGGAAAGGAAAGGGGTATAGATAGATGTGATTGAAATGACACTATCTGCTTCAGATGAGTGTAATACATATATATTACTTGTATACGATTTGTTTGCATAAGTGATCAGAAGTCATTTTTAATATTTCATAGCCATGTCTGTTATGGGTGAATGGTCGTTTGGGGATGTCATTGTAGTAACATTCGTTATTGAGTCTAGTAAGATCTAACATTCTCTCCATGCATGTAATGTCGTATGACTCTCACACCTTTTGTGAGTCGAAAAGAATAGCACCTTGGTACAGTTCAAAAAGTCCAGGAGCTGTTATAGCCAAAAATGGCTTAAATATGTACAGTTATACTGAGTATCTTGCAACAGACATCCAAATATAACGACGATATGTATGGTGTGTACAACTTTAAACCTGCTAGAGACAGATCCAATATGGTATGCACCGAATAATCTACTTCGCTTAAGTAGTTAAATAGTATAGAATAACAGCATAGACGGCTGTTTTCTCTTATGTGTTGAGGTGTAGTGACACTGTTAATCCAGATCGATATATCTCTTTAAATCAACTATTGGTAGATTGACTAAATAATATACTAAGAGTATTACCTATAATTATGCAGACCCAATGAAGATACTGCAGAGGATGTAATGGGAATTACACAAATTGTAAAATTAGAAAAAAACACTAAAATCTAATGCTTAATAATAAAAGTTGAAAAAATTCTAATAATCAAAGAATTTTAATTGCAATTCAAAAAAACATATCAAAGAATAAAAATATGAGTCAGGAACGGTTAGCAAAAGGGTTACCAGCAGAAGGGTAATCTTGTTCTTTAGTTAGTCACAAAATCCGGTTAGGATGGATATGGATATAACGTATCAGAAATGTATCTCTGTACTTACCGGCTGCCGGTGGGGTTGGCGTGCGTCCCAGACCTCACTCTGGGTGGTAGGTCGGTCCCCTGATTGACGGTTCTCTCTGGTTGAAAGAGAGGTATTCCTTCTGCCAGTTTAGCTCTGCTCCGTATCCTGCTCACTGGTATCAGTCTGTCTAACGTGTTTCGTGGGTGTCAGCCCCACTTCATCAGAGACATGGTGAAGATTGAATGCCGAGCCATGACTTATATACACAGCCGGCATATTTATACAGTTTACGTATATCAGCATTTTGTGAAATACACATGTTCAGATAAAAATATATAATGCATACATGAAACATAAGTGTATATATCTAAATGCATACACATCACAGTAGATGTAAATTAAATAAATATAGAATTAGTATACAAGTTAAAGAAAAATTAAAAAGAAAAATTAAAATTAGTGGTTTTAGAGAGTTACAAGTTTTAAAAATTACAAATTAGAAGTCGTAAAATTCATAATAGAAATCATCATAAAAACAGTACTATGGTATCATTGTGAATTAGACTACGTGTAAATACTCTATTTGGTAAGAATTATACATTTAATCCTATATGGCAGTAATTGATTGTAGAGATATATATCTATAAAAATAAATTTTATAAATGTATAAAAATGAATTCATAAAAATAAATTAATAGGGATAATACTGGTTGTTTAAGAGGTAGATAAATGATACAAATTGATAAATTCATGAATTAATAAATGTATGTAATGTGATTAATAGATACAATAATAAGAATAAATGTAGAGATTAAGGTTTATCCATAAATAGTATTAAAAATAGTCAAAGGAAGTTAGAAAGAGTTAAGCATTGAGAAGAGAGCATCTGCTTGAAGGATAATATCGAAAACTCGTTGTAATGATGATTCGAGAAATATATTATATATTGTATATTATTAAATGGAGATTTATCTCTAATCGTTTGCATATAGTAACAATCCGTAAAAATATGTTCAAGCACAGTGTATTACTGAAGACCTGTTGAAAAAGCTATTTAAAAAAGAAGGTACATGATAATTATAATTGCAAATTATAATACATCTAGTGTCATAAATAGGTGAGATTGGGGGTTAAATTAAGAACTCAGAATTATAGTTATGTTTAAAGTATCGAAACAGTAGACCCCCGTATCAGGGATGATGAAAATAGATAGAAATAGATCAGGGATTGTGGATAAAAGATACCTATCTTCAATTACGATTTAACGGAGATCGAATAGGGATAATAGTAAGGATGATAATACTAAATCAGAAATTATGGATAAAAGGTCCCTATCTTGGATTGTGGAGGTCCGATACAAATGTCGTTAGGACTGAGAACAGAATATTCACAGAGAGCCTTGGCTAAAATGATGGCTATAAAAAAGTGGTATCGATATACAAATAGAAAAGAGAATAATGATGGGTGCATTAAAAATATAATATTAGTCAGTGTAATATATAGTTATACTTGGGTGCATATATTTTAATGGATATAGATGTTGTTTAGTGCATCCTGTAAAAGTAGTGTGATGATATATACAGAAAGTGAAAGTGTGTGATAAAGATGTTAATGATATGTCTAGTTGCCTTCTGGCTTGTATGGTGGGATAGTGAAGTGATATAAATGTATAAACCTTTGGTGGCATAGTGGGAGAGAGAGAGAGAGAGAGAGAGAGAAAAAAATAATAAAAAAAAAAATATATATAGATAGAATAGCAGAATTGAACATTTCATAGAAATGCATTCAGTTCGAAGTCTATATTTAGACCTTTCGGGACCAAAGTCTCTAAATGAAAGATCCATCTTGCTTCGGTTTGGTCCAAGTTTCTCTCTGTCACCACCTCTCCAATGGACTTTTTCGATGGGTAGATATCTGAGTCCTGTAGGATCTCCTCCATGAACTTCCTGAAAATGCTTAGAAAGATTGTGTCTGAAGTCCCTTCTTTATATTTCGGATATGTTCCGCTATTCTGGTCTTTAATGTTCTTTTTGTTCGACCTACATATTGTTTGGGGCATGGACACGTAATGAGATAAATCACCCCTTTCGTATCACAACTCATATCTGTCTTCAAATTAAATTCTTCCATGTTGTTCATCGATATGAATGATGTAATTTCAAACTCCAGAGAGGGATTATTCCTACATGCAATGCACTTTTTGCATCTCCTGAAACCCTTCATTGCTGTTCTGTCCTGCGTGTCCTTGTTCGATTTCAGGGTTGGAGCCAGCATGGGTTGTAAATTTGGTGCTCTTGTAAAAATAATGTGTGCTTTACTATCCAAAATATCTGTTAGAGTCGGATCATTCTTAAGGATGTTCCAATGTTTCTTTACAATTTTCTCTATAGTTTTGGATTGGTGGTTGAATTGCATTATAAATGCAGGTGTCGATTGGAATGTTCCCGTATTCTTAGTCTTATTCTTTAAGGTATCTTCTCTGGGAATAGCTAAAGCCTTCTTTCTGGCTTCAGTGAGTAGTGTCATGGGATATCCTTTGTTTGTAAATCTCTGTTCCATTTCTTTCATCTGATCATCACATACTTTCAGGTTCCAGCAGTTTCTTCTAATCCTCCTAAATTGATTATGTGGAATGTTCTTAAGCCAGGTTGGTTTATGGTGACTATTAAAGGGGATGAAACTATTACAATCTACTGTTTTTAAAAAAAAGTCTTAGTCTGTATCACATTCTCTTCAATGTAGATGTTAAGGTCTAAAAATTCAATTTGTTCATATGAGTGGTTAAAAGTAAACTTGAGGTTGTATGGGTTTGTATTGAGGTGGATCTTAAATGCCTCAAGAGATGCCAGGTCTCCCTTCCAGATAAGAAAACCAATCATCGATATATCTCCGCCAAAGGGACAGGTTTGCGCCAAATGGGCAATGGTTCCATATAAATTCTTCTTCCCATTTGCCCATGAATAAATTCGCATAACTTGACACAAAACGAGTCCCCATGGCGTTTCCCTCAATTTGTAGATAAAATTGGTCATCGCACCAAAAATAATTGTGGATAAGAATGAACGCGATGCATTGGATTAAAAAATCAATTTGGTAGTTTTTTAACTCTGAGTATACCGCCAAAGAGTATTGTATTGCCTCGCAGCCCTGTAAGTGCTCTATCACCGTATACAATGAGGTGACATCTGCTGTAACTAAAAGCATACCTTCAGTCCAATTAAAATCAGATACGAGGTTTAAAATTTGTGTCGAGTCCCTTAGGTATGATTTAAGACATGGTACCATCCTTTGCAAGTACTGATCTACATACTCGGAGAGATTTGCGGTGAGGGATCCAATTCCAGAAATGATTGGCCTTCCTGGTGGTTTGGCCAACCTTTTATGAATCTTGGGTAGGTGATAGAAGATGGGTATTCTTGGAAATTTCTTCTGTAAATATTTGAATTCTCTATCGTTAATAATCAAGTATTTCTCAGAGTTTTTCTTTGAAATGTGGGGTAGGATCTTGTTCCAATGGAAGATAGGTGGAAGTATTCCCCTAGTAACCTTAGGTTCTCTTCCCTATAGTCCTCTGTATTGAGGATCACTAGTCCACCCCCTTTGTCGGCTGCTTTAATTGTTATATCTTCCAATTTCATGAGTTGTTTGAGTGAGTGCCTCTCTCTTTTTGTGAGGTTGTCATTCTCAAACTTATTGGTAATTTTCTTTCTAAAGTCATGTTCCACCATCTTCTCAAATACTTTGATTGAGTCAGTCATGACATGTTGTGGGTAGAACGTGGAAGTGGGGTGTAGTTCTGTGTGGGTATAGCCTTGTGTTAGAACCGGTTGCATCTTGTCTTTATCTACAAAAAATTTTTTCATGGATATTTTCCTTATGAACTTCTTTAGGTCTATACATGCATTGAAATTAGAGCTTTTACAGGTAGGTGCGAACTTGAGACCTTTTTTCAAAAGGGATATTTCATCTGGATTAAGTGTTCTAGTAGACAAATTAAAAATGTTTATTTCCTCCTTTTCTGTTGAATTGGGTATTCTTGTTGGTCTGCGTCTTCCTCTATTTTTCTTATTGATCTTTTTTTTCCTCACATCTGGAGACCTGTAATCCTCCATCATGAATTGTTTGGGGGGAATCCTCCCCCGATTGAGTAAAAAATCATTTTCTATAAGTACCTCCGAATTGTGTGGGTTGGTTCTTCTACCTTTGTTGGTAGTGTTGTTAGATTCAGTTCTTTTATGGTCCGTAGGGAGAGCATTACCATCTGGGGTATATTGGTGTGTTTTTTCAGATGTTTGCCAGTTCCTATTTCGATATGTATTTTGTTGTGGGAGTTTATACCTATCCTGTTCATTATATCTCTCAATTGTGGAATGGCAAGATGGATATTGCTTATATCCTTTATATCCTTGTTTCCTATTGTCGGCTACTCTTTTGTGCGTCCAATCCGTCGTAGTATCCTTTGTGGGGGTTCTTTGAGATATGGTGGTGTTCTTATATGGCATATGTCGTTGACGTCTAAATTCTGTTCCATACCTTTTAGGGGAATCAAATCTCTGTCTATGGTCTTTTTTCCAGTTCCTCTGGGTTTGTGTTTTGTAATCAGCCTGGTCTCTTATGATTTTCTTTCTTTTATTTTCTCTGATGGTCAGCTCAATATCTTTTACTCTTTGATAAATAGAATGTAAGGCTAATATAATAAAATAAACAAAAATAAAAGAGGCTCAAAACACATACAAATAACCAGTATACAATAAAAGATAGGTGAGGGCACACTACATAAAATAACACTTATGGTTACCCTTGAATGTAAAATCTACTCCGTGCTTGATTCACTCCTGTATATAAAATATAAAAACAGGAAAAAACACACATAGGGTAATAACGTAAAAACCTTAAAATTTTAAAAAATAAATAAGGTTTCACTCACATGGTCATGAGCCACTTAAAATAAGCTAGCTCAGACTAAAAGCATTGAAAATATCCGTCCGTGGTACTTCACACACCAGGCTGTTCCCCCTTCGTGGTCTTATTAGTAACTTAAAATAGTGGACTTTTACTATATTGTACCCAGTGTTTTTTGTTTTTTACCCCAAAGTTATAGTGTGTCCAATAAAGTTTTATTTTATTCCTTGCATCCTGGAATATTTTAAGTTACTAATAAGACAACGAAGGGGGAACAGCCTGGTGTGTGAAGTACCACGGACAGATATTTTCTACGCTTTTAGTCTGAGCCAGCTTATTTTAAGTGGCTCATGACCATGTGAGTGAAACCTTATTTATTTTTTAAAATATTAAGGTTTTTACGTTATTACCCTATGTGTGTTTTTTCCTGTTTTTATATTTTATATACAGGAGTGAATCAAGCACGGAGTAGATTTTACATTCAAGGGTAACCATAAGTGTTATTTTATGTAGTGTGCCCTCACCTATCTTTTATTGTATATCTTTTACTCTTTTTTTCAATTTTTTCTAAGAGTTCCATAAATTCCCCATTCTCCACTAGGGGGCGAATGGATGTTTTCAGTTCTGTTATCTCTTGATCTAATTGGGTTAGGTCCTTCTTTTTTTCATTAATGAGAAATACCATTAATAATAAGGATCCTTTGTCGAGCAGTTGGTCCCATTTTTTAAGTAGTGTTAGGTCATGAAGCTTATATGTTGATCTTTTAAACAGTCTTAATCCCCTCGGTACTATAGTGTTGTTAACATAGAAGTCTAAGGCTGCTATATCCCACCACACTTGTACCTCCCTTTCCATTAGTTTACCTAGTTGGCAATGTGTGCATCTTCAGTCAAATGGCATTTTCCAAATTTCACCACTCTGCTGTTTGAATTATTTAATCGCCGCCCAACATAATATTTTTTTTTTCTATGTTATGGTTTTAGGAGTCCCCAAACGGCTTCCTCCAGGTTTCCCATCAGCACAGGGAAATGCAAACTTCATGCAGGGTCAGACCCCTCCAAATGTGGCCGGATCACCAGTAAATGGTGGAGCACTACAACAGCAAGTAAATGCAAGTGGTCAAAAAGCAGGTACGCAACATCTCTGGATAAAGTCCACCATTTATTTTCTTTTATCTTCGTTGTAACCTTTCAATATAAATACCATTTGTTTTATCAAATTGTACTTTATTTGCTTGTTCTGCTTTATAATTGGTGTGTGTGTGTGTATTTAATTATTTTCAGGGCTAAAATCTACAAATTCTATATACCGTATTTATCGGCGTATAACACGCACCTCATTTTAAGAAAGAAATTTCAGGAAAAAAAACCTTAAATTTCAAATAAAGAACTTCTTACCCCCTTCTTACTCCCCCCTCCCCCTCTTCTTACCCCCCTTTCTTACTCCCCCTTCCCCCTCTTCTTACCCACCTTTCTTACTCCCCCCTCTCCCTCTTCTTACTTCCCCCCTCCCCTCTTGCCCCTTCTTACTCCCCTACCCCTCTCCCTCTTCTTACCCCCCTTTCTTACTCCCCCTCCCCCTCTTCTTACTTCCCCCTCCCGTCTTACCCCCTTCGCCTCCCCCTCCCCCTCTTACTACCCCCCCTTTCTTGCTCCCTCCCCTCTCCTCTCCCCTCTTCTTACCCCCCCCCTCTTTTCTTACCCCCCCTCCCCTCTTCTTCTTACTCTCCCCCACTCTCTTTTTACCCTCCTGTAGCGTGGCCGAGCTGCTCTGCTGTCCGCGGTGGCGGCGGAGTGATAGGAAGGTGCACGCTCAGTGTGCACCTTCCTGTCAGTCCGGCCGGGCACCACGGACAGCAGAGCAGCTCGGCCACGCTACAGGGGAGGTGAGAACCAACTGCAGCCGCCTGACCGCTCTTGACAGAGCGCTCAGGCGGCTGCAGCATTTAAAGGGCCGGCGTATAACACGCACCCATAATTTGCCCCCTATTTTCAGGGAGAAAAAGTGCCTGTTATACGCCGATAAATACGGTAACTTGTTTTGTTTTTTGTTTGTTTTTTAAATCTTTTTCGTGTTTTCTGTCGGAAAGATGGAATTAGGGTTTCATTAGCCAACATTAGAGCACATCTGTATGTCTTAATATAAACCAAGTACAATAAGATGAGTAGTGAGGTGTTGCATAGCTTGCGGATATAACATCTTGGTACGTTTTTGTGATTTGTGTATGTGTACTGTCTTTGCGTATGAAGAGTAGGTACTGTGTGGATATGTATTGACATTTCTTGTTCTGTGTGTTTTTGCAATATTGTGTGTGGAGTAGTTATTGCAGTGCTATCGTGTGTGTGAATGAAACTAAAATCACTTACTCCGCCTGGCTTGTGGAAGCCAATAGAAGAAAGAGAGGTAAATAATTTGGAAATATCCGATGTGTGGCAGATAACCGAGATTATCGGAAAAACAAAGTTAAAATATGTCCATCTTGGATGGTCCCACCAGTAAGCTTGATAAATTTGGTTTTATCCACTCATTATGTATGGTGTCTTTTTGTTCTACTTACTCTGAATGGTGGTGAGGACACATTCAGATTTTGTTACAGATATTTTAATTATTATTTATGGCATTCACAGTATAAAAAAAAGTTTAGAAAAAGGTCTTTATTGTAGCACCTTGCAAATGATAGGGAGATGGTTTGGATAATTCTGTGTTTTACCCATTGATCAAAACCTGTAGTTAACTTCATATTTCTACCCACATCAGAAATGTTTTTTTTTAGATATTTTTCAGTATGGGTTTCCTACATAGGAAATTAATCAACAGATTATACCTATTTAATTATTTTTGTGTCTTGCAGTTGGTCAACCAAATGGTTCCTCACACAATCAGATGCAAGCATCCCATGGAGGTTCAAATCTAATGCAGACCAATCTGATGGGTCTTCACAGCAACATGAATAATCCACAGGCCAGTGGAAGTGGTGTGAACCAGGTCAACATTAGTGGGATGCACTCACAGGGCCAGCAAGGACAACAATCTCAGCTTATGGGCATGCACCAACAAATCATTTCCTCTCAAGGTCAAATGGTTAGCCTTCAGGGGCAGGCTCCTCTTAATTCGCAAGGCCAACTGGTACTCTCCCGATCACAGCTTGTGCCTCAAGGACAGATGATGGGGACATCTCAGAACCAGAACATGGGCCAAGCACCCCAGAGGATAACTCCTCCAAAGCAGATGATTCCTTCTCACAACCAATTAATGACATCGCAAGGACAAGCTCTAATGCCGCAAAACTCTGTAATGGAGCAGATTATGCAGGGTGGTAAACAAGGATTTAATACCCAGAACCAGACAGGTGGGATGGCAGGACCCAGCCAGATTTTACGAGGACCAACCCCAAATTTGCCTAGCAACATGGTGCAGTACTCTGGACAGGCCTTGTCCCAGCAGGGAGCAATCAGTGGTAACCCTACACAGGGGGTGAGCATGCAAGGTCATGTTCTCAGGCAGATTGTGCCTGGACAACATTTACAGCAGTCACTTGGAGAGGCTCCCAACCAAACCGGCAGTGATTTAAACTCCATGCTATCGGACCTTCCTATGCAGCAAACTGGCAACATGGCAGCTCAACATATGCAGAACATGCCAGGAAATGGTGGACCCGGCCAGCACTTTGCAGGACATGGGTTATCTTTTGGCTCTCCGTTTTCTCAAGGTGCTAATGGGAATCAAATGACTTGTGGACAGAATCCTGGCTTTCCGGTCAACAAAGACGTCACGTTGACTAGTCCTTTGTTGGTGAACCTGCTGCAAAGTGACATCTCAGCTGGGCATTTCGGTGTCAACAGCAAGCAGAACAGCGGTGCCGCTAAACCAAAAAAGAAAAAGCCACCAAGGAAGAAGAAGAACCAGCAGGAGGAACAGATGAGGTACATGTCCAATATGGACTCAAAATAGCAAAATTATATTAGTTCAAAAAGAATGCAGGATAGATTATCATAATAAAATATAATCTTGATTTTTTTATTTTTTTATTTGCATGATGCCAGTTGTTTGGTTTTGTAAAATACTCACCACCACTTGACTTTATGGGTCATTCTAAGCACCATAACTCCATTGCAGTACTACAGTGCCTGGTGCGTAGAACATCCAGAGTCCACTGTCTGAGAGTGGATTATAGAAGCAGCAATTTGTAATATGAGAAACGGCACTGTATGTAAACTGCTAGCAGTCTTCTATAAAATGTGTTGTACACTCATCACGTAAAATAGGGAAGGCACTTTCACCTACATGCATGTGCAGTTTGCAGCCTTCACAGAAGGGGTTGGGGAACTGGGTATGATGGCTTGATTTTGGAGTCAGCTGCTCTACTTTGGTTCGAGGATTGTCCACCTCCTCTCCTTGGTACAGACGACCATGCCCAAGGTGCTAAGGCATTAAAGATAGGCAAGTAGACGAATCTCAACTAGCATGGAAGTACCACAGCAGAGTCATAAGTCATAAGCCAGGGATCTCAGCCAAGCCAAAAACGGACTATTTGTATTTAATTCAGAAATTTAGAGGCGCTCCAGCGAAACGTGACTGCTCACCTTGGCAGTCAGGCTTCGCCTCCCATTACTTTAATTCTTTAAATAACAAATGCGTTAAAAATATAGGAACAGTTTTTATAACCTAATCATTTAGCACTAAATTTTGGAACTATAAATTTCCTGTAACCTATTTGCAGCAGTCCTTTGCTCATTCATGTAGTTTAACAGGACTAGGATTGGCTTGTAGATTTCAGCCATTGCTCTTATTAAAAAGGATGTGTGTGTGCAGTAACAGCAAGTCCTGGGGATTTTTTTATGAGGGAAATTTATTTATTTATTTATTTATTTTTTTAAATTCATGACTGGTTTTAGCATGACATGCATATAAATAAATATATGTCCGTGCTCAATCAATCTCTAATGAAATGTCATGCTCAATGAAGTATTCGCTGATGCCATCCTGTCTGTCATTTTAGTTCTACTGAGTCTCGCCTCGATGATAGCGATCAGACTGGAATAGCAGGAGATCAAGGAGGAACTCTAGACGTTGGCCAGAAACTTTCAGAATTTGCAAACAGGCCTCCAGGTAAGCCAATCAAAGGGTATAACTTTAGTATTACCTCTTCTCACTTATACATGTCAGTATGATGGTGTTTGTACAGACCTATACATATTATTATGATAGTGTTTGTTTAGCCTCCTGGGTATGGAGGATAATACTGGTACCACTCACAGCATCGCTGTGTTCATGTGGAGTAGCTAATTTTGTTTTCTTCGTGTTGGGTTGGCAGGCTTCGACTTAGGATGTTTGGGATGAGCATCACAGAGGGTAGGGGGTTGAAGCCATTTGGTTCAGTTTTAGATGGCATTTGGACATTAGCGGTTACATTTTACAGTCAAGGGTATGTATGTTATGATGCAGCCACGTGTATATAATTAAAGGGAAACTCCAGGCACAAACCTTACCCATACCATAGAAGTGCATTTGTTTTTCTTATCAAACCATTCACAGGACAGTAAACAGTGCTATATGACAACTGCAGCTGAGATACAGCTGTGTAGATGGCCCTTACACAGGAATAACAGTGGGTGGAGCTCCAATCTGACAGATAATTGAAAAGTTAAACAATATGGTGCATTATTGTTGTCTTGTGTCTCTTATCAAGCCAAACAAATATAGGTAGAGATTGGGACTAATTGTAGTCCCAATCACATAGTGAAATGCTGATCATAATTATAATGGTGACACACAGTAGCACTGTGACTATAAAGACCACATTGCCCCATCGATGTCCTCAGCCTCCCTCCCTGCTGGTAAAGTGAAAACTATGGTTCTTCTTCAGTGTGTG